CAAGGATGTTTGCATGTAAGTAAAATATAACGAAGCCGACCGGAATTAGAACTCGGTACGCCAATTAACAATTCCGAACTATTATGCATTACACCACCCGCACATCTGAACTTTCAGTGTCTGGTATTCCCAAGCGGTCACCTATCTAGGCTCCACGTTACTTAACTTCAGCGATCTTACATGAACTGATGTTTCACTGTGATGAGACCGTAAGACACCAAAAATCCTTTTATTTCTGGTTTTAAATCTGTTATATTCCGTGCTAATAGAAATATATACTTAAAAAAAAAGGTGGCTAAAATAAGTAAAGGTTTATTGTAAAAACTTTTACAATATGTATAAAGGTAACAGTTATGCACAAGGTCGTCACAAGTCAATCCAGTAGTCAGTGTTACTGTTGGAAGGTCGGTAGATCTAGCGTAAGTCTGAGTCGTACTCAACAGATCTCAGCTAGTATATTAACTAAACTCCCCACATGATCAGATGGCCGGTTTTAATATGAGGCAATCCGAGCCCGTAGGCTCGGCCAAAATTTCCCTGTAGATCCCATATAAAACGGGGTTGGGTAACTGTTTCCTGAGATGAGACTCTGCCCTTCGACATAGCCTCGTCTGGAGATCCTCTCTACTCGTAGACAGAGAGTTTGACCAGCACATATGGAAAAGATCCCAGACTCTGTAGTCTGTTGATATACAGATACTTATAGGTAGTTACTATCTATAGTCTAGTCACTCATGGGGGTGACAGGTTATTCCATTACATCAAAATCAGTCAACTATCAATGGGCCAAGATGTATATATTTATAAATAGTGAATTTTGAAGATTTTGCAAGCAGACAAGTGAAAATTTTGTGGAAATAAACGAATGACATAAACGCTAATTTTTAGAAGAGGTCCTCATGCCAAAAACATTGTAATTTCTGAGTTGTAGCAATAAAGGTAAACTTGTCAGATTGTTATTTCTCTTTATTTTTTTAATCATTTCACCCTAAACAAGGCGATAATGCCACTAAGGTTCAACGGAACACCGAGTAAAAAAAAGAACACTTAAAAAGAACAGAACTCAGAAAAACAGAAGATGGTGATTGAAGTCGTATTTACATTATTGAATATCTTATTTAACAAGATGGCAAGAAACCAGAAGAGAGTTCCACGGGCGAGAAGTGTACGAGAAGAAACTATTAGAATAGAACTTACGGTTACATCTTTTGCTATTTCAACAGTAAAATAATGAGACCTAGTTGCCAATCTAGTACTGCGTTTACATTCGTAAAGGAGATTAAATTCCAAAGGAGAATGCTCATGAGAATAACTGACATTAAAATATTTCGAGAAAAGGGACAAGGACTCAAGGCAACGGCAGTGAAAATGTGACTGAAACTCAGATGCCAGGTCGGGAACGAAATGATTGTAGATTATTCCTTCAAGAATCTTGAGATATATAGCAGGGTTACCAGACCAAGTGTGGCTGCAGTATTCTGTATCAATCCAACCAATAAAGCAGGGAAATAGTCATAATGCTAGTTTATATCCTGTTAATGATAATGGTGGGGATTGCAGTGATAATTAATATATTTTGGGATTTCGATTTCTGAGGTGGTGAGGGCGACAGCTATATTATGGACAAAATTATTTTTTAATAATGTCTGACATGAATATATTTTTGAACTTCCCTTTCAGAAAGGAGACAACAGTAATGCTATAGATAACGCTATTTTATTAATATTTCTGATAGGAATATATTTTGGAACTTCCGTTTCAGAAAGGGGACAACGGTAATTCTATAGACAACGCTAGTTTATTAATACTTTCTGACAGGAATATATTTTTGAAGTTCAGTTTCTGAGAGCAGATAAGAGTGATGCTATAGAAAACGGTATTTTAAGGGACATTCTTTTTGTGGTACACGAATATATTTTGGACATTCATTTCTTTTTTGTGGCGCGGCAGCAGCTATGTTACTTACAAAACTATTGTATAAGTAATTATTGACATTGAATGGGGCGTAGAGATTTGAATAATGTTTATAAAGTCTGATCGTATAATTGGGATGACCGTATAGGAGAGGCGACGATGATGGTTAAGATCGTCGTAGTTGTGGCCTTAATTTAAATGATGATGATCCATGCAAATGTGCTGGCACTTGTAATCGATGCCAGAACGAGCATGATGGCGGTAGTAGCGATGAGGGTGAAGTTAATACTTGATCGGATAATAACATCGCTACTGCTGGGGATAGTAACTGTGTTGTTGTTATGGCTATTTTTGGACCGGGTTTAAGTAATTTTAGCTAACTGATATTATTGTTGCTAGAGAAAGTTTTTTTTTTTCGTTCTTTTTTACTTTCTTTTTTTTTTTTCTTTCTTTGTTTATTGATATATTTTATTTCAGGGACCTCATCTTATGATGTGTTTAAAATCACTTATGTTTATTGTCTTTACACTTATCCTGTGCCGGTGAGTACTACCCCTAACCCCCATGACCGGAGGGGAACAATTATTGGGAGGCCCTTTGTGACTCTCGCTATCTTATCAATATTTGCTTTTTTTCTATCTACATTTATACACGTTAAAAAATTAAACTAAGCATTATTGAAAAAAAAAAAAAAAGTCGGCAATTTGATAACATTCTGTGTTCTTTTGTTCTCTCCAACCCTGTGAATTGTTTTGATCATGCTAAGTCTCGAAAAAAACATCTTATAAAATTCACCATTTTTTTTAATCCATAATGTTGACTGCGTTAAAATTATTCAACTTTTTAAGAAGAAAAATTTCAAGTGGGTGTTAAAAAAAAAATGATGTAAAACATTTGTTGATTTATTTAAGATGGATTGATCTATTGTGAAGTATATACATATATAGATAGATAGGTACATTTTATTTATTTTCAATTTTCTAGTTGAATTGTTCACTTGTATTACATTTGATCCGTTATTAAGTTACAATTAAATTTCTGTTTCATATGAAGACTACCTTATGAAAATTGAAATGTAGTAGAGTAGGAGCTCCGTATCATAGATTCGGTGTCAGGGGGGTTGGTGCTTATCATAGATTCGGGAAGCCGTATCATTGATTCGGTGGGGGTGTTCGGATTACAGATTCGGTGTGGGTGTCTGTATCATAGATTCGGTGTGTGTGTGGGGGGGTCCGTATCATAGATTCGGTGTGTGTGTGTGTGGGGGTCCGGATCATAGATTCGGTGGGGGCAGGGTGAGGGTGCGTATCATAGATTCGGGGAGCCGTATCATAGATTATGGGGCATATCATAGATTCGGTGGGTGGGGTGTCCGTATCATAGATTCGGTGGGTGGGGTGTCCGTATCATAGATTCTGTAGGGGTATCCGTATAATAGATTCGGTGGGTGGGGTATCCGTATCATAGATTCGGTGTGTGTGTGTGTGGGGGGGTCCGTATCATAGATTCGGTGGGGGCAGGGTGAGGGGTGCGTATCATAGATTCAGAGCCCGTATCATAGATTAGGGGCATATCATAGATTCGGTGGGTGGGGTGTCCGTATCATAGATTCGGTGGGTGGGGTGTCCGTATCATAGATTCTGTGGGGTATCCGTATCATAGATTCGGTGGGTGGGGTATCCGTATCATAGATTCGGTGTGTGTGTGGGGGGTCCGT